GTGACGATGTACAAAGGCAAACGACGGATGATAATAAAAGCAATGATATTTGATGATATGCACATAATGAAGGAACATTAATATCATGTACTCTTAACAAGTTGATTAAATAAATTATTGGAAATAAAAACAGTTTGATGGTTGCATATGGACAATGATGATTTTAATGAAATTGCAATAAATCGCCTAGATTCTCACTGAATTTATCGAAACGATATCAAAAGATTGATTTGCCACCGGCCCAGTTGAGTGGTTTCCGTTGGTAAACCATGCAACCATTCGGCTCATCACCCTCAAGCGTAGCTAAATATATGGGTGTATCAGCACCCTGTTCAATCGTTAACGGACCTTTATGACTTGTCATATCCGTATCAACATATCCTGGACAACACTGAAAAACAGATCTGCTTAATGTATGTTACCAAATACAGCTCGATTTTGGATCTCTTTCTCATTGATTTTAAGGAATATGCCGTCCTGACTGGAGATTGCCGACTGGAGATTCAGATTTTTGGTTCAGTTATGAATAAAATGTAAAGGTAAATAAAATGATTGGAAACAGTTCTCGAAAAATTCGAATATTCACTGGATAATAATAAATTTACATTGAATCATCGTAACAAAACCAATGAAACTTCGAGACTGAATTGTATAAGACAAAAGACAAACCCCGTTGACGATGATATTTCTTGACTTGAGCTGACGTGACTGAACCAATGATAATGCAACCATCGCAGCTTTTGAAACACCATAAGCTGATTGACGTAAATAACCCTTCTCTTTTATGTTTCCATCAATACATCCTCTAAAAACATTATCCTATACTGTTATAATTTCAGTGCAAATAGTGCGATGGAGCCACTAGAAACATTTTCATCAAATAGTACGATGCTTTATCTTGCTGCATCCTCAATACGAAACGATATCAAAAACTACAGTACGAGACAGCACTTATTTTAATGGACAATAACCGAAATAATCATCTGCCACAACAAATGCAACTCACTGAATATAATCCTTCGTGAATTTATCGATTTCGGCCACGGTCAGTGTGGGTTTCGTGAGTGTGTCTATTATTTGTTGACTGTAATGACCCTCCAACATACCCGCTTGACTGCACACATTCACCACTCTTTAAATTACTTCGTTTATTTATTGCAGTAAACAGTAATGTATTCATAATGACTTAAACGTTTACCACAAAATTCGCATACAATGAGCTTGAACCACGCAGTAAATGAACTGACTTAAAAATACAAATTTACATTATGTGA